TGGGTCATTTAGTAACTCTATGTTTATCTGTGGTTAATTGCCAGACTATTTTTCAGAGTGACTGCACCATTTTATATTCTCACCACCAAGGTACAAGGGTTCCAATTTCTCCACATCCTTGCCAACATTTGTTATAGTCCCTCATTTTGATTATAGCCATTCTCGTGGATGTGAAATGGTATCTCGTTGTTGTTTTACTAACAGACTTTATTTTTTTAGAGCAGTTTTAGTTACAGAAAAACTGAGCAGAAAATACAGAGTTCCCCTAGATCCCCTCTCCCCACCCTATTATTAACATCTTGCATTAGTGTAGTATAATACATTTCTTACAACTGATACCAATATTGGTGCATTATTAACTAAAGTCCATAGTTTACATCATGGATCACTCTTTGAGATGTATAGTTCTGTGGATTTTGACAAATGCATAATTTCATATATCCACCATTATAGTGTCATTACAGAATTGTTTCATTGCCCTAAATATCCCCTGTGCTCCATCCATTTATTCCTCCCGCCTTCCTCCCAAACCCTGAAAACCACTGATCTTTTTACCATCTCTATAATTTTATTTTTTCCAGATGTCATGTAGTTAGAATCATACAGTATTGTAGCCCTTTCAGAATGGCTTTTTCACTTATCAATATATATTTGAGATTCCTCCGAATCTTTTCAAGCTTGATAGTGCATTTCTTTTTATTGCTGAAAAATATTCCATTGTATGGATGATGGATATACCAGTCTGTTCATCCATTTACCTATTGAAGTATGTCTTGATTCTAAGTTTTAACAATAATGAATAAAGCTTCTATAAACATTCATGTGCAGGTTTTTGTGGGGTGATAAAATTTCAGTTCATTTGGGTAAATAGGAACAAGACTGCTAAATCATGTAATACGACTATGTTAGCTTTGCAAGAAACTGGCATACTTTTTAAATGCTATACCATTTTGCATTCCCACCAGCAATGAATGAGAGTTCCTGTTGTTCTTCATCATCACCATCATTGGTGTTGCCACTGTTTTGGATTTTAGCCATTTTAATAGATATGTAGTGGTATCTCATGTTGTTTTAATTTGCAATTCCCTAATCACATGTGACATTGAGCATATTTTCATATGCTTATTTGCCATCTGTATATCTTCTTGGCGAGATGTCTATTCAGATAGATCTTTTGACCATATTTTAATTGGGTTGTTTTTTTAGGTTGAGCTTTAAGAGGTCTTTGTATATGTTGAATACGAATATTTTCTCCCAGTCGGTGGCTAGTCTCTTTATTCTCTTAACAATGTTTTTCACAGAAGTTTTTAATTTTAATGTAGTCTATCATGTTAACTTTGTTTGTTAATGGATCGTGATTTTGATGTTGTATCTAAAAAAAACCTACCTAGATTTTCCCCTATGTTATCCTCCAGAAGTTTTATAGTTTTGCGTTTTATATTTAGAACTATGATCCATTTTGAGTTAATTTTTGCAAAGGGCGTAAGATCTGTGTTTAGACTTGTTACTTTTCATGTGGATATTCAGTTGTTCCAATACCATTTGTTGAAAAGATTACTGTTTCTCCACTAAATTGCCTTTGATCCTTTGTCAAAGATCGGTTCTCTGTATTCATGTGGGTCTATTTCTAGGCTCTCTGTTCCGTTGATCTATTTGTCTGTTCTCTTGCCAATACCACACTTTTTATTAATGTAGTTTGGTAGTAGATTTTGAAGTCAGGTCCTGTCAGTCGTCTAATTTTGGTCTTCTTCAATACTGTGTTGGCTATTCTGGGCCTTTTGCCTTCCCATATAAACTTTAGAATCAGTTTGTAGCAACAAATAACTTGCTGGGATTTTGACTGAGTTTGTGTTGAATCTATAGATCAAGTTGAGAATAACTGACGTCTCAACAATATTGAGTCTAATTATCCATGAACATGGAATATTTCTC